GTCTGTTCTAACAAACACAATTTTGGGAGTCTGTCAGTTTCCATAGCATTGATTTTGCACCCATAATTATAATTATGGTTAAAATTATAATCATAATTTTAGACAAAGAACAAATTGTGTGGGTTCCCAATTAGAGTGTACCCTACACTGAAGATGTTGAGAAAGGGAGTTTAATATTACTCATCTCTTATGCCACCTGCCTTTGCATATCAGCAACTTGAAGCAAGATCCTGTGTCTCTGCAAGATTAGTTTCTCCCCAATATCTTCTTTAACTGGAAATGTGTGTACAGACTGTACTCTCTGTGGGTTAGTTTCGGAATGTATGACTTGCTATTTGTTTCTTGAAGCAAGATCCTGTGTCTCTGCAAGATTAGTTTCTCCCCAATATCTTCTTTAACTGGAAATGTGTGTACAGACTGTACTCTCTGTGGGTTAGTTTCGGAATGTATGACTTGCTATTTGTTTCCTTAACTGATTTGGGGATATGCTTTTCTATTAAAGTCTTTAATTCATCTATTTTTTTGTGAGCATCCAGAAGCTGATGGAATATAGCAGTGACTGTTTGAGCTGTTAAGAGGCAATTTTAGCAACCAGATCCAGGTCTCCATCTAAATTCTTCCTGATATAAACACCATCCTCCCCTCTTTCTCTGAGCAGAGCCACATTTTCAGAGTAAGGGCAATCATCCACTTCCCAATCCAAAGAGGAGTAAGAATTGTTAATGGAGAAAGGAGAAGGAAAAGGAGACTGACACACTGTGTCCTTAAGCTGGTGTAGGTCCTTTATCTCTGGTGGCCTAAAAGTCATTGCAGCCTTGTCTCGTTGGGGGTTTCCTCTCGGCTGGATCTCCGGTCCGTGCCTCCTTTTAATCTTTCTTTTCAAATTCTCTTTTGTTCCTGCTTTATAATTTCGCATCCTTGATTACTGTTTGAAGTTAGGATAGCAAACTAATTACTAAAACTACTTGAATAAAACTAAATAAAAGCACTGAGATGAGAAAAGTTTCAAGAGCCCTTTACGGAGCTGTCACTCTATCACCATCTTGGATCCACCTGCTAGTTGAAATGTATCAGTACAATTTTTTGATATAACTGAAAAAGCAAACGGTTGCTGGTATCTTGCCAGTGTGAATGCCGTTTTCATCCTAGAGTATACAAAGGGGTGAGGGGGGGAGCTTCTCTGAAGACATCACAGTCGGTTTGGTAGGCTGGATTAGGCCTACCGGACATCTGGCCAGATGTTTTTCCATCCCTTTGTCTTGAAGATGCTTATTCTGGCATTTCCTTTGTTCTTGTAATATTTATATAAGAATAGATTACAGAATAATTGACTAAAAAGAAGAAGAAGGAGAAGGAGAAGAAGAAGAAGATGATGATAAAGGGACCTATAAGAATCAATGCAAAAGGGAAAGGGAGGAAATGTCTTTTTTCAAAAAAAGCCAGATCTCTTCTCAAAGTGCTCTGTGTTGGCAACTGGAGGAAGCAGAAGTCACCTGAGCTAGGAGCATAGGAGCAGTTCATGGTTGTGGCTGTGGCCTTTCTCTCTTCTGAAAGAGAAATTGTTCAAGCATGATCAAATTCATGTGACAGCCTTTGGGTATGATGCAATACCCCCAATGTAAATGAGGGCAGGATATAAAATCTGCATTTTTCGAACCACAAGAAGCCAAAACTTTTCTGGATGGTCTGCTTTCTTCTGAAAAGCATATTATGATATGCCGAGCAGCAGGCTGAGGACATCTCAGTGGGTATCCTAGTCACCCTTAAGCACTTACTCTGAGAAGGGTTAACCAGAGGAATGCGATTACTAACTTCCACAGTGTTAGTTTGCGCTGAGGGTAAATCATTTGGGGAAGAAAATCTATCTGCTTGGAAGCGCTTTCTTGTAGGGGAGAATGGTCAGTGAGAGGGGGACCCTGTAGCCCTCTGAACTTTTTGAACTGGTGTAGTTCCCACCATGCCTGGCCATTGACTAGGCTGACGGGCACTGCTAGGAATTCTAATTTAGTAACATCTGGAGGGGCACCGATTCCCCAACCTTGGAAGAGAATGAACTAAGGAGGCTAGTTTTGAGAACCTGTCTGTTCTCTAATCTGGCCTGCAGCTGCCCTATTGCCTTTGTATAGCTACACCATCCTGAGATGTTCTGAACTAACCAGGTTCAACCTTGTTTAGCTGTTCAGAAGGTCACCAGACGCTGAAGGGAGGCCAAAATAGTGATTATACAACGTTGGAAGGATGAATCAGCAGTTCATTTTGCAGCTGAAATATGCTAACACATGGTTTTGGTCAACTTCTGAATCTCTTAGAAGATTTTCAAACAACCTGATTAAATTTTTCTAGAATTATTTTGCTGTGATTCAAATGGCCAGCCCTTTTCTGTTTCTTTTCTCTTCCTCTTTTCAACTTTCATTCTTAGACTACACATTTAAGCTGCGTGTCACTATTTGTAAAACACTAACAGATGATTTTGAATTTTCTTTGCATCACTATTATGTTATCATTATTTGTTGGGTTAGCTCAGTGAAACTCCAGAAAGCCTGTATGTTTCAGAAGAATATCTGGTTATTTTGCCAAAGTTCTGTTCCCCATTTTAGAGTCAGCTAAATTTGCATGAAGAACAGTGAGAAAGGACAGACTCTTTCCTTTCTTCTCTCAAGATCCAGAACAGAAATGATTACAGCCATCCATCAAATAGCTGTACTGTAAGGCAGGGTTCCTCAGTCTTGGTGACTTGAAGATGTGTGGACTACAACTCCCAGAATTCCCCATCCAGCTAGGGAGTTCTGGGAGTT